CCACTTCACTCTTCTGAGTAGTTGGGACTACCTATCTGCGCGCACCACCACGCCCAACCATTTTTTTTTCCTCTTAAAGTTTTTGTAAAGACGGGGGTTAGGGGTACGGGGTGAGTGTGGGTGTTCCCGCCAGGTTGCCCAGTCTGGTGTCAAAGTCGGGCTCATGTGAACCTTCCGCCTCAGCCTCCCAAAATGCTGGGAATGCCGGCCTCAGCCACTGGGCCAGGCCCCTTAAGTCTTTAACCAAAGAAAAGCGGGCATAAATTTCAATGTAACTGTTTGAGTCCCGGGGGAAATACTCGCTACAAAGTGTCCTTTTCAAGCACTTACGCATTGATTGGTTTTTTTCGGAGGACGGTATGTTTGTTTCCTCCTTGAGTTAAAGGTTAATTATGTTATAAATAAAATCCTTAACCTTAACTAATGGAAAGGAGGAGAAAAAATAACAAAATAATGAGTAAGACATAAATAGTTTCTCTGTGAGGGGAGTGTAGTCAGGAAAGCACTTTAATATAAATTTAGCCCCTTACAAAATCTCAGTCTCTTTTTTGCATCAAACAGATTAAATGGGCTGGGGAAGGGATTCAGAGCACTTGCAAATATTGTCTTGACCACACAGAGCATCATTATTTAGAGGACATTCTCCACATATTCTGTATACTTTTTAAAAAATATCCTGGACCCCAAATTTACCTAGGCAATCGTAAATGTTTCCCAATCCCAGTGTCTAAAAAGTTATCACTGGTGTATCCATAGAAGCTCTATTTTCTTCTCTTCCTCTCCCTGCTGACTCACTATTCCCCTGAATTAGAACCCAGCCAGAGGCGATCTGTTTTTCCTGGTGTTGGCAGCTGAACTGATGTTTATGTTGAAGAGTTCTATTGAATATACCTGTCTTCTTATTATGTCAGTCAAGGATCTGCTTCTCTTGGTAGGTGGTCCCAAATTTTTAGAAACTTGAAGTAAATAGTGACTTTTAAAGGGTTGGAAGAGACAGATTGTAAGAATCACAGCTTTATTGTAAGCTGTTAAGTTTTACCAGTCCACAAATTTAAGCAAGTTTCATTTGAAGTATGAAACTGTGCAAGTTAAAAGGTGCCATTGTCTTTTATCTACATGATCACAGTTGTACCATGCCACAAGGTTGCCTTGTGATCATAGTTATAAAATAGCTCTAGTTCGTCATTTTAAGGTAATGTGGACTATCACTAATCAGATCTTTTTGTGTGGGGTCTTATTTTGTTTGTTTTTTGAGACAAGATCTTGCTCTGTTTCTCAGGCTGGAGTGCAGTGGCTGTGATCAGAGGCTGCAACTTGGAACTTCTGGCCTGGCCTCAAGTGATCTCACTTCAGCCTCCCAAAGTGCTGGAATTACAGGTGTAAGCCACCTTGCCTGGTCCAGATCTATTTCTGCCAAGCATAGATTGATTAGGTAATTTGAATGTTTAGTACCCTTCCTTCCTGGCAACAGGAGATATACTGGATTTCCTCCCTTTCTTTATGTAGTATTTTTTTCTGAGAGTGTATTGAACTTGCAAAAATTGGAAACTTAATTAGGCAAATAATTTCTTTCAGATGTTTTGCACTTAATTTGTTTTTGTTGGATACTCATGGATAAAAAGAGCAATGTTTTTCATTTTTGCTAACAGTTGCCTGTTAGCCTTCATTTTGTCAAAGTGAAGTTGATGTTTTTATTTTTATTTTTTTGAGACAAGAGTCTCACTTTGTCACCCTTGTTAGATTGCTGTGACCATAGCTCACAGCAGCGTTAAACTCTTGGGTCCAGGATCTTCTTGTCTCAGCCTTCCAAGTAACTGGGACTACAGACACCTGCTATTTTTAGAGAAGGGGATCTCACTCTGGCTGAGGCTGGTCTCCAACTCCTGAGCTCAAGTGATCCACCTGCCTCAGCCTCCCAGAGTGGTAGGATTACAGGCATGAGCTGCCTGACCCAGGCTTCAAGTTGATGTTTTTAGAACTACTCACCAATTTGTTTTAAATACTTGACTGCTAAAGTATTATTAGTCAACCATTATCAGTTATTACTGATCTAATTTTTTCTAGCAAAATCAATTTGAATTTCTAATAGAAAAAAGTTAATTAACTGTGTTCTCAATACTGAATGATTCAAAACACAAAGCAGAATTTCACTTTGTACTTTTGTTTTCATTAACCTCAAAGGCAACCATTTTTTTATTTTTTTATCAACTTATATTAATGTTCTTGATAATCTATGATGCTAAACTAAATTCCTTGACAATTGGAAACCTTTCCTGATCTATCTTATAAGGATCCATAATATAACTTCAAGTTTATATTTTAGAATATGTGTTTTATGAAAGGGACATGATTAAAGAGTACAAAATAGTGTTTTTCAAATAAAAGCCAGGCTTTTTTATTGTTGTTTTGGTTTTTTTTGAGACAGGGAGTGCTCTGTTGCCCCAGGTAGAATGCAGTGGCTTCATGGTGGTAGCTCACTGCAAGTAAGTGCTGGTTGCTCACAGCAACCTCAAACTCCTAGGCTGAAATGATCCTCCTGAGTCGCTGGTGCTACAGGTGTGTACCAGCATAGTTGCTATTTTCTAGTTTTAGTAGAGACCAGCTCTCACTCTTGCTCAGGCTGGTCATGATCTCCAAAACTAGTTTTTAATCCCTCAGAGTGATTGCTTATTTGTCTGTGACAGTAAAACATAGAAGCTGCTCCTTAGTTTTACTTTTCTTTCTAGTTACAATTGTTCAGTATGATTCCACTGATGGAGGAAAACAAGCATGTGGCGCGGTTGTTGCTCAATACTGGCACCTGCCCGAGATGTGTCTTCAGATTCTGTGGTGTGGATTTCCATGCACCTTACAAACTTCCATATGAGGTATTTTAAGTTTTGTTTTGTTTTGTTTTTTAAGTTAAGAGAGGTTCTGTTTTATAGTGAACA